CGGCGGCGGCGGGAACCGAGCTGCGAGCTGAGGTAGCGAGAGGCCTGCGCTTGCAAACCAGCCGATAAGGGAGTTAGGAACCAGTTCCCGTGAACAGGGTTTCAGTTAAAAAGCCCTCTTGTGCCAATGGCAAGAAAGTGCCCCTGGGCAAAATACAGCCCGGAAGAGCAGCTGCAAATCTCCAGGAGAAAAATCCTTTCTCTGGGTGATGTTGTGTCTTAATTAAACTGATTTAGTTAGTCTTAATTAAACTGATTTGTGCTATCAGTCACCATGGCTAATGGTTGAAGTTAAAAATAAGTTTTAATGTGAATGCAGGTAGTCATCTATTTACTGCTAATGCTGTCAAGATTCATGTGAAATAAACTCTTTTGTATAACAGTTCTTCTCTGAGTCATAAACTTCTTTGTTACTGGCTGTTAGGAGCTCTGCAGACAAGCTCTGCTCCCTACCAAGAGTGTTATCCTGCTAGCTAAATTCTCTTTGTTGCTTGATAAACAATGCCTAACAACATGTAGTATGTGCTTTTACATATTGAAGATACCTGGCACGCAGGCAAACTGAGTGTGACTGTCAGTTACTTGGCAGGCTTTTCATTTGGTTAGTTTGAAGGCCTGGTGATTATTTCTGGCAGGCTCTTTTATGCCTCTTTTATTTATTTTTTTTTTCTTTTGATAAAAAACAAGCTCACCTTATTTGATACTGCTGCACAGGTTCATGAGTTCAGGATGTGATGATAATTGACTCCTACTGATGATTTGAACTGCTGCCTCTGCTCTTTGTTAGCACAACCTGTAGTCCTTTCATCCACCTACTGCAGCTGCCCCGCTGCAGCGCTCGCTTTGCTTGCCGGATTTTATGTGTGGCCGCTGAGCTTTCCACCTGAGTTACTATTGCTGCATTTCTTTGTGTCAGTGAAACGCGAGGCGGAAAGACGTGTTTGTCGTCTGATTCTGCCGGGTTGTGATGCTGACTGTACTGGAAGTTTGGTATACTTTATAATTTTAATTGTACCAACTTCTCCTTTGTTTTAGCTATTTGGGGTTCTGAAGCTCAAGCAGGAGTTTCTGGCAGTGCTATTTATGTTAAATATAAAATATGCTGGCCCCTTACCAATGTCCTTGTTTTTTCCCCTTACCCTGGACTACTGCATAATCTTGTTAGTGGAGGAAGGAAGTCTTATAAAACTGCTGTGATTTTACAGATTGCTGGAGGTCTGATCCGTGCAGCGCCATGGACTCGTCAGAAGAGACCGGAGGCTCCTCCACAGAAGAGAACTACTTTGTGAATTACACCTTCACAGATCGCTCGCACTCGGGCCGCGTGGCGCAGGGCATCATGAAGCTGTGCTTGGAGGATGAGCTGTTTGCCGATGTTACAATATCCGTGGAAGGCAAAGAATTCCAGCTGCACCGTTTGGTCCTCTCGGCTCAGAGTTGCTTTTTTCGTTCCATGTTCACGTCCAACTTAAAGGAGGCCCACAACCGAGTGATTGAGCTGCAGGATGTCAGCGAGAGTGTCTTTCAGCTCCTTGTGGACTATATTTACCATGGGACTGTAAAGCTGAGGGCAGAGGAACTGCAGGAAACCTATGAAGTGGCAGACATGTACCAGCTGACTGCCCTTTTTGAAGAATGCTCCCGTTTCCTGGCCCGAACGGTGCAGGTTAGGAACTGTCTGCAGGTCATGTGGTTGGCAGATCAACACAGTGACATGGGGCTCTACACAGCTGCCAAACACTGTGCCAAGTCTCACTTGTCTCAACTTCAAGACACAGAGGAGTTTCTACACCTACCTCTACGCCTGTTGACAGACATCCTTACAGGTAAGGAGCTTCTGAGGCTAGTTAGACTGTGAATGTGGAAAGAGACTTGAGACTGCAGTATGAGTGTTGCAGGGATTGAATAACCGAGACAGGTGGAAAGGCACAAGCCTTCGTAATCACTGTCTATTCAGGAGCTGAGCAAAGCAAAACAAAACATGGTGCATAATTTCATCAGAGAAAACTGCTAAGCCAGGGCTTTAAGACCTGTCCATGATGCTTCTGTACAATTCCATTTTTGTGGATTTATGCATCATTTCCTGGGGAAAGAAAGAGAGTAGATGAGGCTTCTACTTTCATACATGCCGGATTTGGGACTCCCCGAGCGGTCTCCTTTCTTTTTCCAATTAAAATATAACCAACAAAAGCTTCTGTAAATGGATACATTGCTACACTTTGTGTCACATGCACTTTATTTGCTGTTATGCCTGTAAACCTGCTATGACCAGCTTTTTTGGAATATTGGCAAATTTGTCCTTGAGACTTAAAATAGCCTTTAAAGTTGATGCTATGTCAGCCTTTACAGATACAGATCTGTCAGATTTCCTTTGCATCTAAAGACTGACACAATCAAAAACCTGTTGAGAGTATGCACTGATAACTAAAAAAAAAGACCAAAATAAAACCAGAGGAATTTTGGTGTCTGTTCCTGGTTTTGTGAACCTAAAATAGTCAAAGCTGTGGCTTAATTAAATAAATTCACAGTTGAAAATAAAGCTCTAGTGGCCAGTCACCCGTAACTTTTTCCTTTGCTTATGCCATGCAATAACTATCGTTTTAAGAAGACAACTTTTAGTGTTTGTGGTCTTAAATTAAACTATTTGCTTAAGAATTTTTTCTATGCATTATCTATTTCCTTATTTGGGTATGAAATAGATTCTTTTTTTTTTCTCTTGCAGTTCCTGTGTGTTGATTTAGTTAATGTACAATTAAAGAGAGTCTGTTAAGTGTAGAATGTTCCCTATTATCACACTGCTAAGGAAAGCTACAGTAGCTCACCATAGTACATGAGCAAATATCCAGTCTTGACGGTCAGCTGTCTGATGAAGGGGAAGAAAAATTTGCTAGATTAACTTGCAGGAGCAGTCAGTGATCCAAGAAATGCAGCTGCTGCAATTCTTAAATAAGAGAAACTTTTTGCTTAAATGAGAGAGTGTTTTTCAACTTCACAAAGCTTGCAAAGTCTCTTTCCTGCCCTCTTTCACTCTGTCATACGTTCCTTTGTTGAAATTCATCCAAAATATTTAAAATCTGGCAACCCTGTCTTCTGATATTTCATCAAGCAGTTGCATGTGGATGCCTGGCTGGCAGTACTGATTATGTCTGCCAAAATCTATAAACCCTTGTCTCTCTTCTTCCACTCTAAAGGGGTAGGGTTTGTGGCTGAGTTGGAGTAGGGGTTGGAGAAATGGAGGGCCATGGGTGCAGGTATCTTTGATTTTTGTGTAGATCTGATAAATTCCTTTCTGTCCCCGGACCGCAGATGGCGTCCCATGCTCTCAGAACCCCACAGTTGCCATAGAAACCTGGATCAACTTCAACAAGGAAGAGCGAGCCGGCTTTTCAGAGACGCTGCGATCCAGCCTGAAGGTAGTAAGAGACCTCCTGCCCGGGGCTTAGTGCAGTCCTGCAGTGGCTCTGGGCTTCCGAAACGTGAATTGCCATTGTGTTTCGTGGTGCTTGTGTGAGCAATACGGAAGTCCTAAATAGAAACCCCACTGGCAGCTGCTCCACCTTCATGCTGCTGTTGCCAGCAATTGCAGCCATGCCATAAGTAGCTCATTTCACCAGATGCTCAGTTATTGAAGAGCCCATTCAAAAATCCTAACAGTTTGGCATTCACCCCTTAATAATTCTACTCACTCAGTGATGTGACCAGTTTTTAATTAAACTGCAGGCCCTAGGTTTCAAGTGAACAATGTTGCACGCTCAGACATGAGGGGTGGCTGAAAAAGGCTTTGAGGCTCTGAATCCTGAGCGCTCTAAGGTGGCAGGTTTGGGGAGCAGGTCACACACTAGAGGCTCACAGTGGGTCCTAAAACACTAAAAGATTCAGTCTTAGACATTTGTATAAACATGCCTGGGTCCTGTTGTGGATGTCACACTCCTCCTTTCTCTCAGGTGATTGGAGAAAATGTTCACATCTACCTGATTGGGAAGGAGTCCTCACGTACACATTCGCTCGCTGTCTCTCTGCATTGTGCTGATGATGACTCCATAAGCGTGAGTGGCCAGAACAGCCTGTGTCACCAGATCACTGCGGCCTGCAAGCACGGTAGTGACCTATACGTTGTCGGTGGCTCCATTCCACGACGCATGTGGAAATGCAACAATGCAACGATAGACTGGGAATGGTGCGCCCCTCTGCCCCGTGACCGGCTCCAACATACCCTTGTCTCCGTGCCAAGCAAGGATGCTATCTATTCACTGGGGGGGAAAACTCTGCAGGACACTCTCTCTAATGCTGTCATATATTACAGAGTACGAGACAATGTGTGGACGGAGACCAGCCAGTTGGAAGTGGCTGTGTCTGGGGCTGCAGGTGTAAACCTTAACGGTGTCATTTACCTGCTGGGAGGGGAAGAGAACGACTTGGACTTCTTCACCAAGCCCTCTCGGCTTATTCAGTGCTACGATACCAACACGGAGAAGTGCCACGTGAAGCCATATGTACTGCCCTTTGCTGGCCGCATGCACGCTGCCGTGCACAAGGATGTGGTGTTCATTGTAGCTGAGGGTGATTCGCTGCTGTGCTACAATCCCTTACTGGATAGCTTCACCCGGCTATGCTTGCCCGATGCCTGGAGCTCAGTACCGTCCCTCTGGAAAATCGCTAGCTGCAATGGCAGCATCTACGTCTTTCGCGACCGTTATAAAAAGGGGGATGCAAATACTTTTAAACTTAACCCAGCTACCTCTGTGGTAACAGTCACAAGTGGCATCAAAGTGCTGCTCACTAACCTGCAGTTTGTCCTGGCCTAGGAGGGAAAAACAGGCCCACTGGTAGAAAGGGCAGAAAAACTTTTCCACTGTGCTCTTCGGAGGTATCCAGCATCCTCAATACCGGTTCCACTCACTACGAACTCACAGCATCCAGTAAGCAGCCCGTCCTCTGTACCTGCACAGAGGAAGTGCCAGCTGCTCAACTGTGGGCTTATTCTCTTACATAGCACTATTGAACTGCTGCATCTTAGGTTTCAGGTGGACTAAATGCCATTACTGTAATCACTTGATAATAAGCTGCTTGTGCTCGAGGCCAAAACTCCAGCAAGTGGCTTTTTTAGCCCAGAACCATCCACCTGTAACAAACCCTATAGCGTATGGTCAACCTCCTCCTTGGCCCAGACTGCTAGTTTTAACTGTCCTGGAGACTGCATTGCTGCTCTTGCCAGTCATGGAGAGTAGAGGTGCTCTGTCTGTCCTGCAGGGAAGTCTTCATTTTAACATGTTCTTGTAGCAGCAGGAGGAACTGACATAAATGATATTTACAGGGGACAGATTCTAGAGCTGAGCCCAAACGGTGACTGTGTTTATGCTCGAGCACTTCTCCTAGAGGAGTGGTAATAAACTGGGACCCTGCTTTCTGCTCTACTGTCACCTAGCATAAAGAGGGAGATGATTCTTGAGAGCATTGGCTTTCTTGTCTGTACAGGGAATCCCAACTGTAATCATAACATAGTGTTGGTGAAAGATGGAATTAAGTCCACTTCTTCCTACCCCTCTCTCGCACTGTAACCCTTTGGGTGAGAAAGTGAATAAAGTCTCTGCTGAGACACAGTTTTCTTTTCCTTTGCTGCAAATACAACAGCAGGCAACAGATGGCAGTTTGGCTCTGCACCGATACTCTGTGCGTGGAAAAAACCTCTGGGGCTTTAGAAGAGTTAAGAGACAAGCCATAAGGAGAAAAGCATTAATGAAACAGTCACTTTCCCCTTCCAAGTAGTGTATTGTAAAAAACTTCTTTATTGATGGCCAAGAAATACAACACATGAGCCTTTATTAGTTCATTAAGATACATTTTTGTTTTGTGTTTTTCCAAAGGAGCTGAGATTTTTATGGTCCTTACTGACTCTTTGCAGCTGTGCCAGCAATTATACTCCTGTAAAATTCCTCCAGGACTTGTACCTGTTTGTGCCGAATGAGGATGTGGGGACGGATCTTGGCAATAGCCTCTATTGCTTCCTGAGGGGTCCAGTGATGCAGCTGAAAAGGCAGAAACACTGCACATGAAAATCTGTTCTGCTCTTGCAAAGGTTAATGGAGCCTTCATGGAGGCTACAGATGTGAAAATTCAGTTAGAAAACTTGCTCCTTTTGTCCCTCCCAAGTCAATGCAAGTTCATGAAATGTGTACCTCAGTTAAAAAAAAAAATAGTCTAGTACCCCCATTTTTGCTTTTTCTTATTCTTCCAAGATGTAGTTTCCTGCCCTAAAGGATTTTTTTAACTTTTTTTTTTAACCTCTTCTTTAGTACTCCCCTTGCTCCTACACTTTCATGTATTACTATGGAAAGATTTCCCAGGGAGCTTTTAAGAATTCCAACAGAAGGATCCTCAGGTAGGATTTTGTTTTCAGCAGTAGTTTAAGCAGTTAGATCTGCAGAGCACCTCAGAAATCACTTCTCATGATCCTGAATTACATTTTGAGTGGTGTTTACAACTTTGGGCAATTAGGAGAAAAGTCTGAACGAAACAAAGAAAAGGACGTTTAGCTGCTCGGTTAGTAAATACACCCTCATGCGAGTGACTTGCTCTTCCCAACTCAGTCTGTTCAGGTCTGTTGCAGTCGCAGAGGCTGGGCTGTCCCTGCACGCAGTTGCCCGGAGCACGGACAGGCCCCGCATTGGCCCCGCACCGTCCCTACCTGTATCAGGTAGGCGGCCACCATGGTGGCGCTGCGGGAGCGCCCCGCCTTGCAGTGCACGTAGACGCTGTTCCCGCACGCCCGGTGCTTCAGGATGAACCGCACGCCCTCGTGCAGCTGCTGCGGGCTGGGCACGCCGGTCAGGTCCACGGTGCTGAGGCGCAGCTGCTCCACGCCCATGGCCGCCCATTCCTGAAACACGCGGGGCAGAGCGGCTCGCACGGCGGGGCTGCTCTCACCCGTGTCCCGCCCGCGGCGGCGGGGCCGTTAAGCGGCCGCGCTCACCTGCGCCGAGCAGCAGAGGAAGCGGGTCTCGTACTCCTCGTTGAGGGGGAGCACGGCGCGCACCCTCTCCTC